CAGATTGTGCTGATCGCTTTGTTGCAACCTCTGGTANTACAATCGCATTTTTCCCTTGGAGTGCCTGGTAGAAGGTGATGATACGATTCGGGTGTTGTCCATTCATTGACCGTAATGCCGCGAAACCCCATACGCGTGCCCATATCTACTCATGTGTTGATTGCCCGGGGAACGTCCTACAAGTTTATCACCCTTGCTACCGTGTTCACGCTGTTGATACAAATTTTCAACGCTTCAAATTTTTTGTCGCAGGACTTATTTGCCAACCTAATATTTGACGGAAAAGTTCAGCCGAAAACAGTTGTCTCCAACATCTTCCGCTAATAAGGAACAAGCGATAAGGAGTGCTTCTAGCTTTTTTCGTAACTGGAACATTACTAAGGAGTAAAGGTCGTGCACCGATAAGCGTTCATTGACAGGTCGTGAAATGGTAAGAGAGGAGACGTTTATGACTTTTGTTGGAGAACGTGCATAATGGATAGGGCACCATAAGGAACCAGAGATTGTATCGTGGGAATGCCACACCTCCTAGTGGACGAGTTTCAACGGCTTTGTGGAGGCTGCACAATCCACAGGGGAATCAATGTAAGAAGTTCAAACAACTGGTCGTGACCCTTAGTGACAGTGAAAGGCAGTTCTGGACAGTCATGGTTTGACGTAGTCAGCTCTTTGTTGCACGATGGAATCAAGGTGAATCTCGTCCAAAAACCCCTCACATGCCACTCCTACTGTGGTGATCTCGTACAATCTCTTCTTCCACTACTTTTAAAAAGCTTGAAGTAGGCGGATTTTCTCGTTTTCTTCGCCACCGATTTACTCCTCTACATCAACCCTTCCGGTTTTCAACCTAAAAAGGGTATCTCAAAATTATCGTGAACTTCAATAGCCCTTCTAGGAGCGCCCATTATGGCCCATTGGGCACTCTCTATGATTGGAAATTGTTAAGGTGCATTTGGGTTCTTCGTTTTCAGTGAGTTCAAATTGCTCAACGCGCCTAATCCATCACTATTGAATAGATAAGTTTCCACGTGTTAGGTGGGAGGAGTTCGGTTAGTGGGTGGAGCCTGTGCGGCGTCAGGGGTCTCTTGGAAAACATCCGCATAATCTAGGAGAGTTATGTACCGAAAGTTTTTCATATAGGTCTTCAAGATATAGAATGCGTAGCTGAGGGAAGTGCGCTCATAGCTCCTAACATCCGACGCCTGCCATTTCCAATTTTTATCCATCGTAGTTTGGTTTTGTAGCAGATTGTGCTGATCGCTTTGTTGCAACCTCTGGTAGTCACGAATCACAAACAGGCCAGTCAAATCTTTCCAAGTTCCCCTTTTTTCTCCACTTCTACGAGAGTTTTCGAGAGGGAGTGGAAATACCACCTTGAATAGATAAGTCCCATAACTATCTATTAGGGTCAGTTACGCACTTGAATGTCTTCAGTGTTTCGATTTCGAACCTAGGTTGGCCTAGACGACTATAGATCCTATTTGGAACCCTATGGCTGTGTGGTAGGGCGCCATTTGCACTATGCCATATCCTTCCTTTACCTACACATATTTGAGTCATCCCAAGTNAGTCGAACAATATTGAATAAACCAACGAAGATATGAAAATATTGATGATAGATCAAAAAGTTTGTAAACAATCATAAAAAACAAATCAGCGATCGGTCGGGTTGCTCGTTTTTCTTTTCTGAGCGTTTTCCATTGCGATGGAATGGAAGTAATAGGAAAGTTTAAGGATGAAATGGATCGTGAACTGCACACGATCGAGGAAAGATGGATGGAACGCACTCGAAATACCATGCAAGAGCGAGATACACTTTTACAAAAACTACAACAACTCGAAGAACAAGTAGATTCTTTGCGAGCCGATCTGAACAGGTATGCCTACCGTTTGCACTTCAACTCGTTCCTACTGTCAGATTTATCATTTCAGAGCTGTAGCCTACCGTCTTGAAGTAGAAGAGTCACGAAATCGTATGAAAAATCAATTGGAAAGTGTCCAGAGAGATTACGAGGAGACAATGGCTGAACGGAGTAGTGTACTGGAAGAGAATACCCGAATGGGAGAAGAACGCGATCGACTCAAACAAACTGTACATGCTCTGTCACGAACTCTGAATGAGTTACGAGGAAGAACGGTCAGTTGAAACTCATGAATCAGTGAGCTGTGAATGTACGTCTGCAAAAAGCGATTTCAAAAAGGTCACCTGCTGACTCACTTCGTGCTTATCGCTGGTGGGTTTCGGGTAATACAATTCGGAAGTGGGGATCATAGGTTATATCATATAGAAACAATCGGATTTTATAGAATCAGGAATGACTTTGCCGTCGCATTTGTTGAATCACCAGAAGTCACGTGAATCGATTAATACCGAAGTGATGGGCACAGGTGGTGTAGGGGCAAGTGGTGCACTATCACAAATGCATGGTCACGGGTTTGAATCTCGGATCGATATCCGCTTAGACAACCAAGCCTTCATTCCCTCCGGGGTCGGTCAAGTGGTACCAGACTCATTTGGGAGGATGAAAGCACTGACCTGTACATCGGCTAGCCAACACAACTCATTGTATAGGCCATATATGCATTCAAACTGGCACGCGTTTCTGAATGGTAGTCGGATGCGGGGCCCATCTCCCAGACGAGATTGATTATCGCCCAAGGCTTTATCCTTTATCCCCTGGGCTTTCAGTATCTCTAGGAGTCAAGAAAACAAGACTAGGTAGCCCACCTTCACTATTAGAAGATGAAATTAATCTTGGAAGAAGAACGATCAGGCGGGTGTCCCAAGCGCTATTTAGCCCCTCCAACCACTGAGTCACTTTTAAGTTGAA